GTTTTTTTTTAAAATCTTATATTTTTTGCTTTTTTAAAAAAAAAAAAATCTTATAGGAGTATTTGACATTTTGATGTGGAAAGAAGTTAAATAGTTCTCAGTTCGAATCACGTAGAACAAATGCATGTTAGAAATGAAATCATTTTCTTTTTGCCGGCCTTGGAATCTTAAACTGAATCTTTGAAAGATCTGTACGATAAACAAAATAGTCAATAGCTTTCCTTTCACCGGCTTTCTTTTCTCCGCCTTTGCATCAGATTTTATGTACATCTCCAATAAATCAAATAATCATCCACACCCCAACTATTTCAGAATAAATATTTACAACTATTAGAGTATGTGAATTTTGGAAAAATCATATCCATAATGTTAAATAAAAGGACAATTACTAGAACAACTTTGAAAAATGGCATAATTACTAAAACAACTCTTACACAAGGTTGAAACTTAACAAAGGTCATAAAAGACATATAAATATTAGCAAAAGGTTTTTATTACGAAAATGTCATTCTAATTATTTAAAAAAAAAAAAATCAGATATTTGTTTGAAACCGTGGCCGCGGAGGCTGCGGAAGCACCGAAGACGCGCTTGGCGGATATGTACCGCCGGATTTAGATAAAGTCGGATTGAAAATCACAAAAAAAACTTAAAATCTTTTGATTTTTGGCTAGAAAAGAGATATATGATGTTAGATCTACTAATTTTAGGCTAAATCCAGTTGACAACAAGTTAAAATACAGTAAAAACGAGCTAAAAGTTAGTTGGCCGCCATTGTTAGGTTTTGACAGAAGCTTGTTGTGTGGAGAAGACGACCGGTAAATTATGATTTTTACTCTTTATTGAATAACTCTACCACTACTATAAATAAGTCTACTACATATTTATAAATCTACCACTACTACAAATAAGTCTACYTATTATAAATCTACCACTACRARGASTATAWATAWYTKTACCACATATTATAAATTTACAACTACTATAAATAAATCTACCACTACTATAAATAAGTCTACCAACTAAAGATTGTTTAGTAAAGACGTGAAAAGATTGAACAAATTTACCACTACAATAAATAAATCTACCACARATWATAACTCTACCACTWSTYTAAATAAGTCTACYATTGCGCGAACCATCAATAAGTCTACCGATCACAAAATTAACTCTACCACCACTAGAAATAAGTCTACCGATCACAAATTAACTCTACCACTACTACAAATAAGTTTACCATATTTTATAAATCTACCACTACTGTAAATAAGTCTACGATTGCGCGAACCATCAATAAGTCTACCGATCACAAAATTAACTCTACCACCACTAGAAATAAGTCTACCGATCACAAATTAACTCTACCACTACTACAAATAAGTTTACCATATTTTATAAATCTACCACTATATCGAAAGATAATATCGTGTGTATTTTTTACAAGATGAT